ATATAAAGGATTTAGAGTGAAAAACTTTGTTTTTACGGGTTAATTTTTTTACCTACGTGACTTTACCGAAAACCTAACAATATGTCTGGCTATGTCTGGGTGTGCCAACACCACGCCCGGTCCGTCTTTGTCTCCCCAGCGGACAGACATCTACCCACGCGCCGTGCCGCGCGTTCACTCGAGGCGCGTCCGTGACCGGTGACCGGCAGCCGTGAGCGGGTCACCGGGTCACCGGGTCATCAGGTCGTCGTCGGTGGTGGTGGTTGTGGCCACGAGTTGGATTCGAAACCAACTCGCCCCGAGCCACCCACGACCCACGTGCGAGAAATAAACTCGCCTCCCTTACCAAGATGGCCGCCGAGGGGGGGGCGGGGACGACTTGGCTGTGACGTCACACGCGTTGTTTTTTAAAATTTTGTGTAAAAAAAAAACACAAAAAAATTTGACGTAAGCCAGCGGCAGGCCTCATTTTCACGTTGCGCTCCAGCGGTTTATAAAAAAAAAACCGAAAAAAAAATCTGATAAATATTTATTCACACCGCAGAAATCCGATGACCTACAAAGCGCTTTATTTTCGTGTTCGGTCATCCCCCCCCACCCCACAAACGCCGCCGGCCATTGGCCCGCGGTCACGTGCTCCCCCGCGCCTCGTCCAATGAGAGCGCGGCATTGCCCCCCCCCCCCACCCACCCCCACCACCGCCTATCCGCATTGGGATTTCGTAAGCGGTCACTTGGTGGCTTCGAGAAGAACGCCATCGAAGCTGTTGGCGGCCTTTGACGGCCTCGCTCGCAGCCATCGCCGCCGCCTCTCGCCCTCCCGCTCGAGTGGACGAGCAGCCTCCCCACCCCGCACCCTCCGCGCCAACTCCGGCGGACGTCCTCGGCCCCGTCACGGTAACGGCGAGACGCGAACACAACGAACCCGCGGCTTTCGCGGCCTCTGTTGAGTAACGCGAGCGCCCATTGGCTGAGCCGCCTCCTCCCCCCCCCCCACCGGCCGCGGTGACGTCACCGGCCATGTGTGACAGCTGCAGCAGCAGGCTCTGTCTACTGCTGTGTGACACCAGCAGCAGGCAGCAGGCTCTGTCTACTCCTGCGTGACACCACCAGCAGCAGGCTCTGTCTACTGCTGCGTGACACCAGCAGCAGGCAGCAGGCTCTGTCTACTGCTGCGTGTGAGCAGCAGGCAGGCAGCAGGCTCTGTCTACTGCTGCGTGACACCAGCAGCAGGCAGCAGGCTCTGTCTACTCCTGCGTGACACCACCAGCAGCAGGCTCTGTCTACTGCTGCGTGACACCAGCAGCAGCAGGCTCTGTCTACTGCTGCGTCTCACCAGCAGCAGCAGGCAGCAGGCTCTGTCTACTGCTGCGTGACACCAGCAGCAGGCTCTGTCTACTGCTGCGTGACACCAGCAGCAGGCTGTCTACTGCTGCGTGTCAGCAGCAGCAGGTTCTGTCTACTGCTGCGTGACACCAGCAGCAGGCTCTGTCTACTGCTGCGTGACACCACCAGCAGCAGGCTCTGTCTACTGCTGTGTGTGACACTAGCAGCAGGCTGTCTACTGCTGCGTGACACCAGCAGCAGGCTGTCTACTGCTGCGTGTCAGCAGCAGCAGGTTCTGTCTACTGCTGCGTGACACCAGCAGCAGGCTCTGTCTACTGCTGCGTGACACCACCAGCAGCAGGCTCTGTCTACTGCTGCGTGTGACACCAGCAGCAGGCTCTGTCTACTGCTGCGTGTGACACCAGCAGCAGGCTCTGTCTACTGCTGGCGTGACACCAGCAGCAGGCTCTGTCTACTGCTGGCGTGACACCAGCAGCAGGCTGTGTCTACTGCTGCGTGACACCAGCAGCAGGCTCTGTCTACTGCTGCGTGACACCAGCAGCAGGCTCTGTCTACTGCTGCGTGACACCAGCAGCAGGCTCTGTCTACTGCTGCGTGACACCAGCAGCAGGCTCTGTCTACTGCTGCGTGACACCAGCAGCAGGCTCTGTCTACTGCTGCGTGACACCAGCAGCAGGCTCTGTCTACTGCTGCGTGACACCAGCAGCAGGCTGTGTCTACTGCTGCGTGACACCAGCAGCAGGCTCTGTCTACTGCTGCGTGACACCAGCAGCAGGCTGTGTCTACTGCTGCGTGACACCAGCAGCAGGCTCTGTCTACTGCTGCGTGACACCAGCAGCAGGCTCTGTCTACTGCTGCGTGACACCAGCAGCAGGCTCTGTCTACTGCTGCGTGACACCAGCAGCAGGCTCTGTCTACTGCTGCGTGACACCAGCAGCAGGCTCTGTCTACTGCTGTGTGACACCAGCAGCAGGCTCTGTCTACTGCTGTGTGACACCAGCAGCAGGCAGCAGGCTCTGTCTACTGCTGCGTGACACCAGCAGCAGGCTGTGTCTACTGCTGCGTGACACCAGCAGCAGGCTCTGTCTACTGCTGCGTGACACCAGCAGCAGGCTCTGTCTACTGTTGCGTGACACCAGCAGCATGCTCTGTCTACTGCTGTGTGACACTAGCAGCAGGCTCTGTCTACTGCTAGTGTGACACCAGCAGCAGGCTCTGTCTACTGCTGCTGGTGTCACGCAGCAGTAGACAGAGCCTGCTGCTAGTGTCACGCAGCAGTAGACAGAGCCTGCTGCTAGTGTCACGCAGCAGGCTCTGTCTACTGCTGTGTGACACTAGCAGCAGGCTCTGTCTACTGCTGTGTGACACCAGCAGCAGGCTCTGTCTACTGCTGTGTGACACCAGCAGCAGGCTCTGTCTACTGCTGCGTGACACTAGCAGCAGGCTATGTCTACTGCTGCGTGACACCAGCAGCAACAGGCTCTGTCTACTGCTGCGTGACACCAGCAGCAGGCTCTGTCTACTGCTGTGTGTGTCACCAGCAGCAGGCTCTGTCTACTGCTGCGTGACACCAGCAGCAGGCTCTGTCTACTGCTGTGTGTGTCACCAGCAGCAGGCTCTGTCTACTGCTGCGTGACACCAGCAGCAGGCTCTGTCTACTGCTGCTGGTGACACCAGCAGCAGGCTCTGTCTACTGCTGCGTGACACCAGCAGCAGGCTCTGTCTACTGCTGTGTGTGACACCAGCAGCAGGCTCTGTCTACTGCTGCGTGACACCAGCAGCAGGCTCTGTCTACTGCTGCGTGACACCAGCAGCAGGCTCTGTCTACTGCTGCGTGACACCAGCAGCAGGCTCTGTCTACTGCTGTGTGACACCAGCAGCAGGCTCTGTCTACTGCTGCGTGACACCAGCAGCAGGCTCTGTCTACTGCTGCGTGACACCAGCAGCAGGCTCTGTCTACTGCTGCGTGACACCAGCAGCAGGCTCTGTCTACTGCTGCGTGACACCAGCAGCAGGCTCTGTCTACTGCTGCGTGACACCAGCAGCAGGCTCTGTCTACTGCTGCGTGACACCAGCAGCAGGCTCTGTCTACTGCTGCGTGACACCAGCAGCAGGCTCTGTCTACTGCTGCGTGACACCAGCAGCAGGCTCTGTCTACTGCTGCGTGACACCAGCAGCATGCTCTGTCTACTGCTGCGTCTCACCAGCAGCAGGCTCTGTCTACTGCTGCGTGACACCAGCAGCAGGCTCTGTCTACTGCTGTGTGACACCAGCAGCAGGCTCTGTCTACTGCTGCGTGACACCAGCAGCAGGCTCTGTCTACTGCTGCGTGACACCAGCAGGCTCTGTCTACTGCTGTGTGACACCAGCAGCAGGCTCTGTCTACTGCTGCGTGACACCAGCAGGCTCTGTCTACTGCTGCGTGACACCAGCAGCAGGCTCTGTCTACTGCTGCGTGACACCAGCAGCAGGCTCTGTCTACTGCTGTGTGACACCAGCAGCAGGCTCTGTCTACTGCTGCGTGACACCAGCAGCAGGCTCTGTCTACTGCTGCGTGACACCAGCAGCAGGCTCTGTCTACTGCTGCGTGACACCAGCAGCAGGCTCTGTCTACTGCTGTGTGACACCAGCAGCAGGCTCTGTCTACTGCTGCGTGACACCAGCAGCAGGCTCTGTCTACTGCTGCGTGACACCAGCAGCAGGCTCTGTCTACTGCTGCGTGACACCAGCAGGCTCTGTCTACTGCTGTGTGACACCAGCAGCAGGCTCTGTCTACTGCTGCGTGACACCAGCAGCAGGCTCTGTCTACTGCTGTGTGACACCAGCAGCAGGCTCTGTCTACTGCTGCGTGACACCAGCAGCAGGCTCTGTCTACTGCTGCGTGACACCAGCAGCAGGCTCTGTCTACTGCTGCGTGACACCAGCAGCAGGCTCTGTCTACTGCTGTGTGACACCAGCAGCAGGCTCTGTCTACTGCTGCGTGACACCAGCAGCAGGCTCTGTCTACTGCTGCGTGACACCAGCAGCAGGCTCTGTCTACTGCTGCGTGACACCAGCAGGCTCTGTCTACTGCTGTGTGACACCAGCAGCAGGCTCTGTCTACTGCTGCGTGACACCAGCAGCAGGCTCTGTCTACTGCTGCGTGACACCAGCAGCAGGCTCTGTCTACTGCTGCGTGACACCAGCAGCAGGCTCTGTCTACTGCTGCGTGACACCAGCAGGCTCTGTCTACTGCTGCGTGACACCAGCAGGCTCTGTCTACTGCTGCGTGTCACCAGCAGCAGGCTCTGTCTACTGCTGCGTGACACCAGCAGGCTCTGTCTACTGCTGCGTGACACCAGCAGGCTCTGTCTACTGCTGCGTGCCCGCAGCAGGCAGGGTCTATCTAGCAGTACTTAGCCATCAAGGTTAACGACACAGTTATATATGTATATAGATATTTACGCGATCTCACCCAGAAACAAACCTCTATTATGGTTGGTACTCTATGGTTTTTCGGTAAAGTCACGTGGGTAGAAAATATAAAATAAATTAAAAATGAAAACAACTAAATGAAATCTCACGACGTTTCGGAAGCAACACAAGCATCCATCATCAGGTGTGACCGCTCCAGCAAAATGAAAATAACTAGATTAAAATAATAATAAATAAAAATGAAAATAAATAAATTAAATCAAGAAATGTTTTTTGCTGTGGCTGTCCTACCTGATGACAGAGGCTTGTGTTGCTTTCGAAACGTCGTGATGAAATTTTGTTTTAATTTTTTTTATATTTTAGAATTTTTCACCTACGTGACTTTACCGAAAAAACCAAGAGCATGGATCCCCGCAGTCACGAAAACTTCAAATCTAAAACTTTTATGGTTGACATTGGGCGCGATAGTCTACGTGTCAAACTGCATGTTTTAAACAAGGCTAACAACACTCCGTTAACTAAACTACTTTTTGCTAATTGTTTTTTACCCTTTTATCTGGCAACAAAACTGACACCTTTTTTACAAGGAGTCATGTTTGCATAGACCACAATATCTGCAGTCATAATGCAAACAACAAACATAACTGATAATGTATGCACTGTCCTTGAAGTTGATTGGTCCACACCCGAGACAGCTTTCCTTAGAGCCTAGTCTCACATGTGACATCTGGTGTGAATTCTTGATGATGACGACGATGACGATAACAATGAGGACGACGATGACGACGATGAGGATGATGACGATGATGACGACAATGACGACGATGACGACGACGATGACGTCATCATCATCGTCGTCGACGATAACGACGACGATGATGACGATGACCATGACGACGATGACGTCATCATCATCATCCTCGCCAACGATGACGATAACGATGACGATGACCATGACGATAACGATGACGATGACCATGACGATAACGATAACGACGACGACGATGACCATGACGATAACCGTCATGGTCATGGTCATCGTCACGATGACCATGACGATGACCATGACGATGACCATGACGATAACGACGATGATAACGACGATGAAGACGATGATAATCTCCCAACGCGTTGCACGAGTCGAGTCCCAAGCTGCTGCACTTTCCTCGCCCCGTCCCTATTGCAGGACCGAGTCATGAGCCGGTGAGGCTGTCGCCATGGAGACGGACGACATCACCTTCGTGACGGAGGAGGTGGAGAGCGGTTACCACGGTTACGCGGAGACCCCCGGCGGCGTGGATGTGGGGGGCGCCCCCCCCGCCGGGGCCTCCCCCTCCCCGGGGGCCGGGGGGGAGGGGGAGGGGGGGGAGGAGGTCCACAGGAAACGGCGACCTCGGGGCCACGGCGACCCCGACAGGAAGGGAAAGAGACCCCGGTGAGATGGGAGCCTGAGTCTGGCTCCGTGAGCCTCGGTGATTGACACTGAACCCTGTGGGAGCCTTAGCCTGGCTCAGTGAGCCTCGGTGATTGACACTGAACCCTGTGGGAGCCTTAGCCTGGCTCAGTCAGCCTCGGTGATTGACACTGAACCCTGTGGGAGCCTTAGCCTGGCTCAGTGAGCCTCGGTGATTGACACTGAACCCTGTGGGAGCCTTAGCCTGGCTCAGTCAGCCTCGGTGATTGACACTGAACCCTGTGGGAGCCTTAGCCTGGCTCCGTGAGCCTCGGTGATTGACACTGAACCCTATGGGAGCCTGAGTCTGGGTCTGTGAGCCTCGGTGATTAACACTGAACCTTGTGGGAGTCTCAGTGATTAACACTGAACCCTATGGGAGCCTGAGTCTGACTCCGTGAGCCTCGGTGATTGATAATGAGCCCTATAGGAGCCTGAGTCTGGCTCTGTGAGCCTCGGCGATTGACACTGAACCCTGTGGGAGCCTGAGTCTGGCTCTGTGAGCCTCGGTGATTGACAGTCTGTTTGGGCTACACGATGGATCTGTGCGTGCGCGCGCTGCGCTATGAACACGGTAACTCAGGTTCGATTCCCGCTCACGGCCAACACCAGCGACGATTATCTGAACCGGTCCTGGGCCTCCCCTAGGTCGACTCAGCCTGAAATGCGTACCCGGTGCGGTGTGTAAACATCGCCACTGGGGAGACAAAGGCGGTCGGGCGTGGTGCTGGCCACCCACCCCCTCGTGTGCCGTTCTGGCCTTCATAGGTGCTCGCTAACAGCACTTGCCCCTACAGCCTGTTAAGGCTATACGGGGGATCTTTATCTTTGTGTGCGCGTGTGTGTGTGTGTTGGCAGGCCGGCGTACCTGCATTACTACACGGAGGCTCACGCTCGAGTCCGCCGCCTGCACCCGGAGCTGCCGCGCTCGGAGATCAACCGGCGCGTGAGCGAGGGCTGGCGCCGGCTGGCGGTGGGGGAGCGCGACGTGTACCTGCAGCGCGCGCACGCCGAGAGGGCGCGTGCCGTGAGACTCGCACGCAGACTCGCGTAGAGACTCGCTACAGAGAGACTCGGAACAGAGACTCACACGGACTCACGTAGAGGCTCATGAACAGAGACTCGCACAGAGAGATTCGTACACAGAGACTCACACGGACTCGCGTAGAAACTCATACGCAGACTCGCGTAGAGACTCGCACAGAGAGACTCATAAACAGAGACTCGCACAGACACAGACTCGCACGGACACAGACTCGCACAGACACGGACTCGCACAGAGAGACTCGCACAGAGAGACACGCACAGACTCGCACAGACACAGACTCGCACAGACACGGACTCGCACAGAGAGACTCGCGCACAGGCCTCCACGCAGAAACTCGTAAACAGAGATTTGCACGCGCACAAACCCGCACACGTACGCACGCACGCGTACACACGGACACGTTACCGCCACCGTCATCGCCAGCACTGACCGCGTGTCCCTGTGTCCCGCACGCCCCTCGCTCCTCCGCTGCCCCCCACAGTCCACGCCCGCCACCGCGGGGGGGGCCCTGTCCGTGTCCGCGGCCCCCTCCCCCGAGCCCCCCACATCCTCGCCCCTCCCTGGCTTCCGCCGCATCCTCCCGCGATCCGTCTACCTCGTCATCCCGGCGGCGGCGGGAGGGGGGGGCAAGGGGGGTTGGCGCGGGGGCCCCGGGGACAGCGGGAGGGGCGGTGCGGTGGCCGGGGGTCAGGTGCCCGCGTGGGAGGAGGCGGCGGTCGGAGGTGAGAGGGCGGTGACCTCCGCGTGACCCCGTGACCTCCGCGTGACCCCGTGACACGGTCGCCAACTTGGCGTCGTCGGCAGCAGCGTCATCGTCGGCATCATCGTCGCAAATTGTTACCGTCATCAACATCGCCACCATCACCACCATCTCACCACCATCGTCAAAGTTAAAGGTCCCCCATATAGCCTGTAACAGGCTGTTGGGGCAAGTGCTGTTAGCGAGCACCTATGAAGGCTGGCACGGCACACGAGGTGGTTGGGTTACCAGCACGACGCCCGGCCGCCTTTGTCTCCCCAGTGGTGACGTTTACACACCGCTACACCAGGTACTCATTTGAGGCTGAGTCGATCTCGGGGAGGCCCAGGTCCGGTTCAGATAATATGTAAGTTTTCTCCTGCAACATTAAATACGCACTACGATGACAATAGTTTAAAGCGATTCGAAGCATGTTTTATTTTTGGGGGAGGGGGGCAGAGCTTTGTAACTTCATATTTGAGGGGGGGGGGTCTGACTTTTTGTGGCGCCGTGTGACGAGGGGTGGGGGGGGGGGGTCAAAAATCGTCAAAAATCGCGTGACGTCATTTATGGACGGGCCCCTATGTTGAACCTCTTTCGCACCGTGCCGGGGTCGAACCCACGACCTCCTGCGTACCAGGCGAGGGAGTTAGCGTCTCGTCACGCCCCATCGCCGCCATCCCCGGCCTCATGGCGTGTGGCGCGTGTCTCTGCGCGTGCGTGCGACGTCACAGCCGTGGTGGAGGCCGACGCTGCTACCCAGAGTGCCGTGCAGAGCGTCCTGGTGTCACCGCCGGGGAGCGGCTCGGAGAGGGGCCTCGGCACCACCCCATCCTCGTGCGTCACACCAACCCCCGCGCGGCACACGACAAAGACCCCCGCCCCCGTGTAGCCTCAACAGACTGTAGGGGCAAGTGCTGTTAGCGAGCGGCACCTATGAAGGCCGGCACGGCGCACGAGGGGGTGGGTGGCCAGCACCACGCCCGGCTGTGTTTGTCTCCCCAGTGGCGATGTTTACTACACACCGCACCAGGTACTCGTTTGAGGCCGAGTCGACCTAGGGGAGGCCCAGGAGCGCTTTAAATAATCGTCACCGCTGGTATTGGCTGCGAGCGGGAATCGATCTCGGGGTCACCGGGTTCTTAGCGCAGCGTAGCACCGCACACTGTCCCCCCCCATGCCAGATGAACAGACAGATGTACGGCAAGACGGACAGATGGACAGCCACCCAGATGGACAGATGTACAGACAGATGTACGGCAAGACGGACAGATGGGCGTACACACAGATGGACAGATAGCCAGATGGTCAGATGAACAGACAGATGCACAATCAGATAGATGGACAGACAGATTGACAGACGAATGGTAAGAGCCAATGTTGTCACTCGAGTTGTCATTAATTGCTCCTGAGCCCCTGACCCCCCCCTCACCCACCCCCCACCCACCCACCCCACCCACCCACCCCCGTCTCACCGAGTTGCCGCCCCCCACAGCACCGCGGAGGGGGGGGGCCCCCCACGCCGGCCGGAGCGGGGTCTGGAGGTGGTCGTCATGGAGACGCTGCCCCCACCGCCCCCTCCCCACGAGGGGGGCGGCACGGAGGGGGCCGTCGCCCCCGTCCACGTGCCGGGGTTTGCCGGCACGCACAGCGCACCGCCGGTGAGGGGGGGGGGGTGAGGGGGTGAGGGGGGGGGTGAGGGGGGGCGGGGGGGTGGCACACGGGAGTGGGGCTAGAGATTGGGGGTCTGTGTAAGCATTGTGCCCCATGGACGCCCATTGGCCTCCCCCTATTACCCCCACTTGACCCCACTGTGACCCCTGCGTGACCCCTGCGTGACCCCCCGTGCAGGTGGAGGAGTCCAGGGCCCAGTTCATCCTGGTGCCCATGAGCAGCGCCGCTCAGGACGGCCACACGCCCGCCAAGGTGGGCCGCGCCACGCTCTCTCCGCTGCTACAGCAGCAGCAGCAGCGACATCATCATCATCAGCGCGATTAGCAGCATCAGCAGCAGCAACAATTTTATCAACAACATCGTCATGAACAGCGTCATCGGTAGCATCATCATCAGCGTCATTATCAGCATCATCATCATCATCGCCAGCATCGTCAGCAGCAGCATCATCCTCATCAGTGCGATTAGCAGCATCAGCAGCAACATTATCAACAACAGCGTCATGAACAGCGTCATCGGTAGCAGCATCATCAGCGTCATTATCAGCATCATCATCATCATCGTCATCATCGTCAGCATCGTCAGCAGCAGCAGCAGCAGCGACATCATCATCAGCGCGATTAGCAGCATCAGCAGCAGCAACATTATCAACAACATCGTCATGAACAGCGTCATCGGTAGCATCATCATCAGCATCATTATCATCATCATCGTCATCGTCAGCAGCAGCAGCGACATCATCATCAGCGCGATTAGCAGCATCAGCAGCAGCAGCAACATTATCAACAACATCGTCATGAACAGCGTCATCGGTAGCAGCATCATCAGCGTCATTATCAGCATCATCATCATCATCGTCATCATCGTCAGCATCGTCAGCAGCAGCAGCAGCAGCAGCGACATCATCATCAGCGCGATTAGCAGCATCAGTAGCAGCAACATTATCAACAACATCGTCATGAACAGCGTCATCGGTAGCATCATCATCAGCATCATTATCAGCATCATCATCATCGTCAGCAGCAGCAGCGACATCATCATCAGCGCGATTAGCAGCATCAGCAGCAGCAGCAGCAACATTATCAACAACATCGTCATGAACAGCGTCATCGGTAGCAGCATCATCAGCATCATTATCAGCATCATCATCATCATCATCATCGTCAGCATCGTCAGCAGCAGCAGCAGCAACATCATCATCAGCGCGATTAGCAGCATCAGTAGCAGCAACATTATCAACAACATCGTCATGAACAGCGTCATCGGTAGCATCATCATCAGCATCATTATCAGCATCATCATCATCGTCAGCAGCAGCAGCGACATCATCATCAGCGCGATTAGCAGCATCAGCAGCAGCAGCAACATTATCAACAACATCGTCATGAACAGCGTCATCGGTAGCAGCATCATCAGCATCATTATCAGCATCATCATCATCATCATCGTCAGCATCGTCAGCAGCAGCAGCAGTGACATCATCATCAGCGCGATTAGCAGCAGCAAACATTATCAACAACATCGTCATGAACAGCGTCATCAGTAGCATCATCATCAGCGTTTCCCCCTCGCACGCGCGGGTTTACTCCGGGCGCTCCGGTTTAACTCCCACACGTATCAGGCGCGCGTCAATTGAGCGGTAACATCTTGGCACACGTAGAGGACCGCAGAGCTTGGGCGGTGCCGGCGGCTGCTCACCACCGCGTGAAAAAATTTCGCTCGGCGCGCCGTGTCGTGCTGCAAGAAAATGTCGTGCTGAAAGAAAATGTCAATGCGGCCTCCCGTCCGCAGGCCACGGGGAAGTCGACGTACACGCGGCGAGGCCGTGGAAGCTGCCCCGGCGCGGGCTGCTGCTTCGGCTACGTCACGCGGCACAAGCCGCCCGTGTGCCCGCACTGCGGCACGTGGCTCGGGGGCAAGTGGGTGCCGAGGGCCGGCGCCCGCAGGGTCCCCGCGGCCGCGGCGGCGGCGGCCGCCCCCCCCGGCGGCGGCGGGGGAGGAGGCGGCAAGGGCGGAGCGGAGCTTGCGGTCGCGAAGGTATCGGCGGGCAGAGGCACCGGCGTCATTGTCGCCGTCATCGCTAGCGTCGTCTGCACCACCATCAGCGTTGGCACGACCATCGTCATTCTCTCACCCCCCGTGTCTCTCCCCCGTGTCTCTCCCCCCATCTCCCCCCCGTGTCTCTCCCCCGTGTCTCTCCCCCGTGTCTCTCCCCCCATCTCCCCCCCGTGTCTCTCCCCCCATCTCCCCCCCGTGTCTCTCCCCCGTGTCTCTCCCCGTGTCTCTCCCCGTGTCTCACCCCGTGTTTTTCCCCCTGCCTGCTCCCGTTTCTCTCCCCCCGTGTCTCTCTCCGTGTCTCTCCCTGTGTCTCTCCCCCCGTGTCTCTCCCCCCGTGTCTCTCCCCCCGTGTCTCTCCCCCCGTGTCTCTCCCCCCGTGTCTCTCCCCCCGTGTCTCTCCCCCCGTGTCTCTCCCCCCGTGTCTCTCCCCCTGCCACCCCCCGTGTCTCCCCTGCCTCCCCGCGTGTCTCCCCAACCCAGCGCCTGTGTTTAGGAAGCCTGCCCGTGACCGCCGTGTTTGACGTCTCCATGCAGGTAGGAACTCCCCCCACCCCCCACCCCCTCTCCACCTCTCCACCTCCTCTCGCGCTCGGCTCGTAGTGCTCACTCAGCTCCACCAGCTGCGACGAACGACGACGAATCTTGCGCGGGGTTAAGACGAGCGGGATGGCCAGCCTGCAGCGGGCCGAGAGTAACCCGGGAGCTCTGCGAAGAGCCGAGGTTGACGTTTTGTCAATCGGAGAGAGAGAGAGAGGGAGAGAGCGAGAAAACGCGACATGTAAACAAAGGCAGCCGGGGTCTTCAGTGCTGGTACAACGGGCGTCGCCGATTGGCTGACGGCGTGGCTCGGCGCCACTTAGAAGCCCTCTGATTGGCCGTAACGTGAACACGTGTTCCCGTTGGAATGTTTCGCGCGAGTCGAAACCACGGGGGGGTGGTGTCCTATGGGAGGTGAAACGTGAACCGGAAAACCGTCGGCCGATGTGGCTGTTAAGCGAATTATCGCACGACTTCAATTCGTTATTCTTTGGGTCTTTCGGTAAAGCCACGCAGATAGAAAAAATCATCCAAATGATAACAACATCACAAGCAATCGTCTCCACCTGAAGACAACTGCTTGTGACGTTGTTATCATTTGGATGATTTTTTCTACCCACGTGGCTTTACCCAAAGACCCAAAGCATAACGAATCCCTGCAGTCACGAAAGCTTCAAGTCGAGTTCTGATTCATTATCCGCTGCTACCGCCGCTGTTCCGGCGAGTTCCACGTCACGCCCCTCCGATGGAGCCCCACGCGGCTACCGAGACCCTTGGTGGCCACCGCCGGCATGCGGTGCGATTCCGGCCTCGCCAGAGGTCGCAACCGGGTACCCGATACCCGTACCCTACCCGATACCCGGCTACCCGTACCCGGCCAGGTACGGGTAGCCATTTGCGACCCTGGTGCAGCCGGGTACGGGTACGGGTAGGCCGTGAGTCACTGGTGAGTCACCGTTTGTCACTCATTTCCCAACATCTTGTCTCTTCTCACAATTCAAGTTCCTAGAATCAACCCACCCGCGCCTACAACATGGCTTCATCCCTGAGATCGCAATCGGGTACCCAATACCCGTACCCGATACCCGGCCGGGTACGGGTAGCCGGGTATCGGGTAGGGTACGGGTACCCGTTTGCGACCCTGGTGCGGCCACGTACGGGTACGGGTAAGGAATCAAAACCCGTTTGTGACCTCTGGCCCTCGCTCCTGCCGTCGCTGGCACGGAGGAGGAGTAGGAGACGGAGCGGCAAAACGGGTGCGGATCTGGTGGCGGCTCGTGGGCTGGGTGCCGCGGGGGAGTAGGCCTCAATCCAGCGGCGGCCCGCTGTCGACGCCGATGACGGCGGTGACGTGCGCGCGTGTCTCTCGGCAGCTGCACGGAGCCGAGGCTTCCTCGGGGGGCGGCGAAACCGGACCCCCGACCCCCGCCGGTTCGGCAGAACACAACCAGGCCGCCGCCGCTGCCGCCGGGCTGATGGTCGCCACGGTGACGGGAGCCGAGGGAGCGGCGCTGCACCAGGGGCCTCCGGCGTCGCCGCCGCCCGACGGGATGAGTGTACGTTGCCATGCCGTACCGTGTGATCACGTGTGTTCACGTGTGATCACGTGTGTTCACGTGTGATCACGTGTGTTCACGTGTGATCACGTGTGTTCACGTGTGATCACGTGTGTTCACGTGTGATCACACGTGTGTTCACGTGTGATCACGTGTGATCACGTGTGTTCACGTGTGATCACGTGTGATCACGTGTGATCACGTGTGATCACGTGTGTTCACGTGTGATCACGTGTGATCACGTGTGTTCACGTGTGTTCACGTGTGATCACGTGTGATCACGTGTGTTCACGTGTGATCACGTGTGTTCACGTGTGATCACGTGTGTTCACGTGTGTTCACGTGTGATCACGTGTGTTCACGTGTGATCACGTGTGTTCACGTGTGATCACGTGTGTTCACGTGTGATCACGTGTGTTCACGTGTGATCACGTGTGTTCACGTGTGTTCACGTGTGATCACGTGTGTTCACGTGTGATCACGTGTGTTTACGTGTGATCACACGCGATCACGTGTGATCACATGCGATCACGTGTGATCACGGGGGTTCGATTCCCGCTCGCGGCCAACACCGGTGACGATTGTTTGAAACGGTCTTGGGCCTCTCCCCTAGGTCGACTCGGCCTCAAATGAGTACCTGCTGCGGCGTGCAGTAAACATCGCCACTGGGGAGACAAAGGCGGCCGGGCGTGGTGCTGGCCACCCACCCCCTCGTGTACCGTGCCGGCCTTAATAGGTGCTCGCTAACAGCACTTGCCCCAACAGTCTGTTAAGGCTACACGGGGGATCTTTGTCTTTTGTGCGTAGTGCGGCGCGCTGCGAACCCCTCGCCCCGAGTCCGATTCCCGCTCACGGCCAACGCCAGTGGGCGATTAATTATCTGAACCGGTCCTAATCCCTCCCCTAGGTCGACTCGGCCTCAAATGAGTACGTGGCGCGGTGTGTAAACGTCGCCACTGGGGAGACAAAGGCGGCCGGGCGTGGTGCTGGCCACCCGCCCCCTCGTGTGCCGTGCCGGCCTTCGGAGGTGCTCGGGAACAGCACTTGCCTCTCCCCCCCCAACAGGCTGCATGGGGGAACTTTGTCTTTGTTGAAGGATGAGAGAACACGCGCAGGGCAGAGACATCGTCATCACCATGGCAAGGATCTTCATCTAGCAGTGGATAGACCACCGCTAACGACGACGACGACGGTGGTGGTGGTTGTGTTGCACTTGACAGAACGGCAAAGACCCGGGCGCCCCCACCTCTCGCCCCCCGATCCTCCCGGCCGCAGTGCACGCTGGGAAGGGTTCAGCCGAGGTCGCGCGGGTGCCGCCCGTTCTTCCGCCGGGGCCGAGGGTCAGGTACGCGCACCTAGCCTGGCGCGGGCGGCGTCGGCTTGCGCTTCGCTCGCGAGGGGCGTGTTGACGTGGACGCGGGAGTGGCGGCGCCGCGGTTAGCGCGCCGCGGGCACGGAACCCCTCCCCCCTCACCCCTCTTCCCCCCCTCCCTCCTCTCCCCCCCCCTCCTCTTCCCCCCTCCCTCCTCTCCCCCCTCCCTCCTCTCCCCCCTCCCTCCTCTCCCCCCTCCCTCCCCTTCCCCCCTCCCTCCTCTCCCTTCCTCCCTCCTCTCCGCCCTCCCTCCTCTCCCCCCTCCCTCCCCTTCCCCCCTCTCTCCCCTTCCCCCCTCCCTCCTCCTCCCTCCTCCCTCCTCCCTCTTCCTCCCTCCTCTTCCCTCCTTCCCCCCTCCCCCCTCCCTCTTCTCCCTGCTCACTCCCCGCTCTGCGTGAGCCTCTGCCTCACTCCGTGCGTCACTCCGCGCATCACTCTCTCGCGACTCCGTGGCTCTCTCCGCCCGCGTGCCCTCCGTGCGTACCCTCCGTGCTCGTGCCCTCCGTGCGTACCCTCCACCCGCATGAACTCTCCCTGTGGTTGAACTCTCGCCCTGTGGTTGAACTCTCACCTCGTGGTTGACCTCTCCCCTGTGGTTGAACTCTCCCTGTGGTTGAACTCTCCCTGTGGTTGAACTCTCGCCCTGTGGTTGAACTCTCCCTGTGGTTGAACTCTCTCCCTGTGATTGAACTCTCGCCCTGTGGTTGAACTCTCGCCCTGTGGTTGAACTCTCCCTGTGGTTGAACTCTCTCCCTGTGATTGAACTCTCGCCCTGTGGTTGAACTCTCCCTGTGGTTGAACTCTCTCCCTGTGGTTGAACTCTCTCCCTGTGATTGAACTCTCTCCCTGTGGTTGAACTCTCCCTGTGGTTGAACTCTCGCCCTGTGGTTGAACTCTCGCCCTGTGGTTGAACTCTCCCCTTGTGGTTGAACTCTCTCCCTGTGGTTGAACTCTCTCTGAGGTTGAACTCTCACCTCGTGGTTGACCTCTCCCCTGTGGTTGAACTCTTTCCCTGTGTGGTTGAACTCTCACCTCGTGGTTGAACTCTCACCTCGTGGTTGACCTCTCCCCCTTGTGGTTGAACTCTTTCCCTGTGTGGTTGAACTCTCACCTCGTGGTTGACCTCTCCCCCTTGTGGTTGAACTCTTTCCCTGTGTGGTTGAACTCTCACCTCGTGGTTGAACTCTCACCTCGTGGTTGACCTCTCCCCCTTGTGGTTGAACTCTTTCCCTGTGTGGTTGAACTCTCACCTCGTGGTTGACCTCTCCCCCTTGTGGTTGAACTCTTTCCCTGTGTGGTTGAACTCTCACCTCGTGGTTGAACTCTCACCTCGTGGTTGACCTCTCCCCCTTGTGGTTGAACTCTTTCCCTGTGTGGTTGAACTCTCACCTCGTGGTTGACCTCTCCCCCTTGTGGTTGAACTCTTTCCCTGTGTGGTTGAACTCTCACCTCGTGGTTGAACTCTCACCTCGTGGTTGACCTCTCCCCCTTGTGGTTGAACTCTTTCCCTGTGTGGTTGAACTCTCACCTCGTGGTTGACCTCTCCCCCTTGTGGTTGAACTCTTTCCCTGTGTGGTTGAACTCTCACCTCGTGGTTGAACTCTCACCTCGTGGTTGACCTCTCCCCCTTGTGGTTGAACTCTTTCCCTGTGTGGTTGAACTCTCACCTCGTGGTTGACCTCTCCCCTTGTGGTTGAACTCTCTCTGAGGTTGAACTCTCACCTCGTGGTTGAACTCTCACCTCGTGGTTGACCTCTCCCCCTTGTGGTTGAACTCTTTCCCTGTGTGGTTGAACTCTCACCTCGTGGTTGACCTCTCCCCCTTGTGGTTGAACTCTTTCCCTGTGTGGTTGAACTCTCACCTCGTGGTTGAACTCTCACCTCGTGGTTGACCTCTCCCCCTTGTGGTTGAACTCTTTCCCTGTGTGGTTGAACTCTCACCTCGTGGTTGACCTCTCCCCTTGTGGTTGAACTCTCTCTGAGGTTGAACTCTCACCTCGTGGTTGAACTCTCACCTCGTGGTTGACCTCTCCCCTTGTGGTTGAACTCTCGCAGCCCGGCCGGCGGCGGCCGCGTGGCGTTGAGGCCGATCGCCAAGGAGCCCTCGGCCAGAAATCACCGCAGGCACTTCTCCGCGTCGTCGCCCAGGGCAAGCGACAACATCGCACACGCGTCACCACCGGCGTCACCACCATCGCCACCATCGTCACCGCCGTCATCACTGCTGCCGTCACCGCCATCGTCACCACCGCCACCGTCACCACCGCCATCGTCACCACCGCCACCGTCACCACCACCACCATCGTCACCACCGCCACCATCATCACCACCACCATTGTCACCACCACCACCGTCACCACCACCACCATCGTCACCACCGCCATCGCCATCACCACCACCATCGTCACCACCACCACCGTCACCACCACCACCATCGTCACCACCGCCATCGTCACCACCGCCATCGTCACCACCACCACCGTCACCACCACCACCATCGTCACCACCGCCATCGCCATCACCACCACCATCGTCACCACCACCATCGTCACCACCGCCATCGTCACCACCGCCACCGTCACCACCACCATCGTCACCACCGCCACCGTCACCACCACCATCGTCACCACCACCACCGTCACCACCACCACCATCGTCACCACCGCCATCGCCATCACCACCACCATCGTCACCACCACCATCGTCACCACCACCATCGTCACCACCACCATCGTCACCACCGTCAACATCACCGTGGTCAACACCGCCTCTAGTAGTCCACATCACGCACACCAACTTCACCATCGCCACCATCACCACAACCACAACAGTGATCATGGTCAAAATTGCCACCATCGCAGTCGGCATCATCATCAACACAGTCATCACCGTCACATTCTCAACATCATCATCACCACCATCAGTGATACATTCAACATCATCGTCAGCAGTGAACATCATCGTCATGATCATCATTGTCAACATCATCATCATCATCGTCCACAGACATCATGACCACCATCACCACCACCACCACCACAACAGCCAACATCATTGCCTGCCTGTCTGCCTGCCTGTCTGTGGTGTCTCTGCCTGTCTGCATGCCTGCGTGTGCCATGTGCGTGCGTGTGGCATGTGCCTGCGTGTGTCTGTATGATGTGTGTCTGTGTGTGTGTGCAGCCAGTACAGCTCATCGCAGGAACACCACCAGTCCGTGGAATGTTTGACAACTTCGCAATACAGGTGTGGTGTGTGTGTGTGTGCGTGTGTGCGTGCGTGTGCGTGTGTGCGCGTGCGCGTGTGTGCATGTCGCAGTTGTTAGCGCACCCAGCGACCCGAGTTCGATTCCCGCTCACGGCCAACACCGGTGACGATCAATTGAACCGGTTCTGGGCTTCCCCGAGGTCGACTCAGCCTCAAATGAGTACCTGGTGTAGCGGTGTGCAGTAAACATCGCTACCGGGGAGACAAAGGCAGCCGGGCGTGGTGCTGGCCACCCACCCCCTCGTGTGCCGTGCCGGCTGTCATAGGTGCTGGCTAACAGCACTTGCCCCAACAGCCTGTTAAGGCTACACAGGGGGTCTTTTTCTTTGTGTGAGTGTGTGAGAGTGTTGATATTGAGAAAAGCTAAAGGCAGATGGTGGTGATGGTGGTGATGATACGGATGATGATGGCGATGATGCAGATGGTGGTGATGGTATTGAATGTACAGATGGTGGTGATGATACGGATGATGATGGCGATGATGCAGATGGTGGTGATGGCAATGAATGTACAGATGGTGGTGATGATACGGATGATGATGGCGATGATGCAGATGGTGGTGATGGCAATGAATGTACAGATGGTGGTGATGATACGGATGATGATGGCGATGATACAGATGGTGGTGATGGCATTGAATGTACAGATGGTGGTGATGGCATTGAATGCACAGCTGAAAGTGATGGCATGGAATGCACAGCCGGTGTTCATGACGGCGACGATGGCGGTGAGAGTGGTAACGGTGATGATGGCGACGTGCAACCATCGCGGGTTCCGGCAGCAGAGGGAAGGAAGCGACGGCTTAGCCGGTGACTCCCGCCCCCCCGCAGCTCCCGCTGGGGGCCTCCGTCCCCGGGCCGACCGTGGCCCTGCAGCCGGCGCCGCCGCCCCCGGCCGCCCCCCCGGCGGGACCCCTCTGCGCCCCGTCGGGGCCCGTCCAGCGGGTGTCTCCGCGGCCCCTCCGAGCCATCCTGCCCGCCGTGGCCACCTCGGTGCCCGCCGCCACGGCCGCCCCCGTGCCCGCCGCCACGCCCGGTGAGGCCGGGTCCTTCCTTAGCGGCAGCCCCCGCACGCCGACACGCACGTCATTCCGTTGCATGCAACTCGGCTCAATTGCTTATACTCGGTTGCATGCGACCAACACAGTTGCATGCAACTCGGCTCAATTGCTTATACTCGGTTGCATGCGACCAACGCAGTTGCATGCAACTCGGCTCAATTGCTTATACTCGGTTGCATGCGACCAACGCAGTTGCATGCAACTCGGCTCAATTGCTTATACTCGGTTGCATGCGACCAACGCAGTTGCATGCAACTCGGCTCAATTGCTTATACTCGGTTGCATGCGACCAACGCAGTTGCATGCAACTCGGCTCAATTGCTTATACTCGGTTGCATGCGACCAACGCAGTTGCATGCAACTCGGCTCAATTGCTTATACTCGGTTGCATGCGACCAACGCAGTTGCATGCAACTCGGCTCAATTGCTTATACTCGGTTGCATGCAACCAACGCAGTTGCATGCAACCGAATTGCTTATACTCGGTTGCATGCAACCAACGCAGTTGCATGCAACCGAATTGCTTATACTCGGTTGCATGCAACCAACGCAGTTGCATGCAACCGAATTGCTTATACTCGGTTGCATGCGACCAACGCAGTTGCATGCAACCGAATTGCTTTTACTCGGTTGCATGCAACCAACGCAGTTGCATGCAACCGAATTGCTTATACTCGGTTGCATGCGACCAACGCAGTTGCATGCAACCGAATTGCTTTTACTCGGTTGCATGCAACCAACGCAGTTGCATGCAACCGAATTGCTTATACTCGGTTGCATGCGACCAACGCAGTTGCATGCAACCGAATTGCTTTTACTCGGTTGCATGCAACCAACGCAGTTGCATGCAACCGAATTGCTTATACTCATCTTCTTGGTTCTTTCGGTAAAGTCACGTAGAATGGAAATAATAAAATAATATATGCTTATACTCAGTTGCATGCGACCAACTCGGTTGCATGCAACGTATACGCAACTCGGTTGCATGCAACGTGTAAGCAACTCGGTTGCATGCAACGTGTGGTGGGGGTTGGTGGGTGGGGTGGGCGTGGTGGGTGGGTGGGCGTGGTGGGTGGGCGCGTGGTGGGTGGGCGCGTGGTGGGTGGGCGCGTGGTGGGTGGGCGCGTGGTGGGTGGGCGCGTGGTGGGTGGGCGTGGTGGGTGGGTGGGCGCGTGGTGGGTGGGCGCGTGGTGGGTGGGCGCGTGGTGGGTGGGCGTGGTGAGTGGGCGCGTGGTGTGTGGGCGTGGTGGGTGGGGGTAGTGGGGAGAGTTGGGGACGACCTAGCCACGCTTCCCATCGTTTGCACGAGGACGGGGCAAGTTTGCAGGAGGGCAGGCGAACGGGCGGCGCAACTGCCGGCGCCGTGAGCCCGCGCCGTCGCTCGTAGCGTCCTCCGGCGGCTGCATCACGCTCGCCCCCCCCTCCCCCCCCCCAGGTCCCGCCGCCACTTCCTCCTCCTCCACCTCGTCCGCCCCGTCCACCGCCCCGTCCGCCGCCGGAGTCACCTTCGTCCAGTTCATCGCCGTCCCCGGCCCCCGCTGCTCCGCCGAGGGGGGGGTTCTGGTGGGGGGCGGCGGGGGTGGGGGGGGTGGGGGGGGCCGCCCGGGAGAGACGCCCCCCACGGCGGGGGCGGGGGGCTCCGCCCCCCTCGCGGCCACCCTGCTCTCCCTGCCCCAGCAGCAGCAGCAGCATCAGGTCGCCGCTGCGTTGGCAGCTCAGCCGACCCCACCGCAGGCGGGGCTCAAAGCCAGCACCCTGAAGCAGCTGGGGCAGGCGGGGGTGAGAGGGGGGGGGTCGACGCACGCACTTGTGGTTTGCGCGTGTGTGTGCGCGTGTGTGCGTGTGTGTGTGTGTGCGCGTGTGTGTGCGCGTGTGTGTGCGCGTGTGTGTGCGTGTGCATGTGTGCGCGTGTGTGTGCGTGTGCATGTGTGCGCGTGTGTGTGCGCGTGTGTGTGCGCGTGTGTGCGTGTGTGTGTGTGTGTGCGCGTGTATATGTGTGCGCGTGTGTGTGCGTGCGCATGTGTGCGCGTGTGTGTGCGCGTGTGTGTGCGCGTGTGTGTGCGTGTGCATGTGTGCGCGTGTGTGTGCGCGTGTGTGTGCGCGTGTGTGTGCGCGTGTGTGTGTGTGTGCGTGTGTGTGCGTGTGTGCGCTTGTCTGTGCGCGTGTGGTCCGGCAAAAACAATCCTCTAACTCCTCGTGGTGCCGGACGGCAACGCTGTGGATTGGAAGAAGGAGTCACCCCCTGTGAGTGGCTGGCTGAGGTGCCATCTGTTGAGGAAGTACTGAAGGCGATCCGGAGCCTGAGACCAGGAAAGGCACCGGGCAGAGATGATCTTCCAAGCGAAATGCTGAGGGAGGGTGGAATTTGTGCACAGACTGGCCTCCATGACATCATAACAACAGTCTGGACCACTGGACGGGTTCCGCAGGATTGGAAGGATGCCCTGGTGGTCCCCCTCTTTAAGAAGGGGGACCGCACAGACTGTAACAACTACAGGGGCAACTCACTCCTCAGTGTACCGGGAAAGGTCCTGGCAAGGATTATTCAACATCGCCTTGCCAGGCACGCTGAGGAGAGGTTTGCGGAGCCTCAATGTGGTTTCAGGAAAGGGCGGTCCTGCACAGATGCCATATTTTCTGTCCATCTGCTACAGCAGAGGTGTAGGGAATTCCAACAAGACCTACATCTCTGCTTTATTGACCTGGTCAAGGCCTATGATACCATCAGTAGGCCTGGGCTCTGGGTTGTTCTTCGTGCTTTCGGAGTCCCTGACCAGCTGCTCACGATCATTAAGGACCTTCATGATGGTGAGCAGGCCCGGGTAAAACTATGTGGCCGGGAGTCGGAGCCATTCCGTCTTCACTTTGGGGTGTGACAGGGAATGTCCTCTGGCTCCCACATTATTTAACATCTATTTCGAGCATGTAGTTCGTGAAGGCTTCAGTAGCTGTACCGTAGAAATTTCCATCTGGTACAGATACAATGGGAGGCTGATTGATGCCTGGGTGCGGTCAAGGGATGGCTCCCTATTGCTCAACCATGTTATGAATGCCGATGATCTGGTAATCGCTGCTCACTCAGAGGAGGAGTTGTCCCCAACGGTTGGGGACACAGGTGGTGCATCAGCCAGTCGTCTCAGTCGACCCGTGGCACCTGGGTCTGCCCCGTCACCTGCCAGCGGGCGTTCGACGCTTCACGTGGCACGTTGGCCTCAACGTACACATGGCCTGGCACAAGCGTCGTGGTGACGTCCCCGCCACTTAGTGACGGTTGTTGTTGTGTGTGTGTGAGTGGTGAGTTCGCGGTTCACGCTACGCTGCGCTACGAACCCGGTGACTCGAGTTCGACTCCCCCTCACGGCCAACACCGGTGACGATCATCTGAACCGGTCTTGGGCCTCCCCTAGGTCGGCTCAGCCTCATATGAGTACCTGGGTTTAAACATCGCCACTGGGGAGACGAAGGCGGCCGGGCGTGGTGCTGGCCACCCACCCCCTCGTGCGCCGCGCCGGCCTTCATAGGTGCTCTACGCTAACAGCACTTGCCCCGACAGTCTATTAAGGCTACACGGGGGATCTTTGTCTTCGTCTTTGCTGGTGCAGACTGGTGGGGAGGGCGCGCAGGTGGAGGAGGGCGACTTTGGCAGCCTCGTCCAAGCGCACCATCGCTTGCATCACCCCTTCGTGAGTAACCCCTTCGTGAGTCACCCCTTCGTGAGTCGTCCACACTTTGTGAGTCGTCCACACTGGGTGGCCCTCGTCCGTCCAGCTACACTCCTCCCCACCATCGCTACCACTGCCGCCACCGCCACCATCGCCGCCACCACCGCTACCACCACCACCGCCACCACCACAATCGCCACCACCACCATCGCCACTGCCGCCAATCGACACCACTGCCACCACCGCCACCACCACAATCGCCACCACCACCATCGCCACTGCCGCCAATCGACACCACTGCCACCACCGCCACCACCACAATCGCCACCACCACCATCGCCACCATCGCCACCATCGCCACCACCACCACCGCCACCACCACAATCGCCACCACCGCCATCGCCACCACCGTGCCAGAGATCGCAAACGGGTTTTGATTCCTTACCCGTACCCGTACCCGGCCGCACCAGGGTCGCAAACGGGTACCCGTACCCGGCCGGGTACGGGTAGCCGGGTATCGGGTAGGGTAGCCGGGTATCGGGTAGGGTACGGGTATCGGGTAGGGTACGTGTATTGGGGGGTACCCGGTTGTGACCTCTGGCCCGTCCCCGTGCGCCCCTCCCGCCAGCAGGAACTGGGCCTGGCCACCTCGCGGGGCAAGGGTCGCTGCAAGAGTCCCGGCTGCGGCTTCGTCTACATGAACCGCCACAAGCCACTCGCCTGCCCCAAGTGCGGCGCCGCCCTGCGCTCGCAGTCTCGACGGGCCCTCCGCTCGCAGGTACAGCACACGCGGACACACGCAGGGGCAGCCACGCACGCAATCGCAGGCAACCGCACGCAACCGCACGCAACCACGCACGCACACAGCCATGCAAGGGCACCGGCTCGCAGGCATTCACAGGCAATCGCAGGCAACCGCACGCAACCACACGCAACCGCATGCAATCACGCACGCAACCACGCACGCAACCACGCACGCAACCACGCACGCAACCACGCAGGGTTTTTGTCCGGTGGCTGTGGTGAGTGATGAGTGATGAGGATCGGTGACGAATGGCTGTGGTGATAATGATGTGTGATGTGTGATGATGATGATGATGAAGACTGTGGTGGTGAGTGAGAGCAGTGGCTGTGATGAGGATCCGTGATGAATGACGATGGTTGTGATGAAGATCGATGATGACGATGACGACCGTGACGACGACGACGGGTATTGACGACGACGACCACGATGCCGACTCGCTGCCCGCCAGGCCCAGCCCTGCTACGACGAGGTGCTGGAGGCCGTTGCCCGCGCCGACGAGGTGGCCCTGGCCGACGACGCGGAGCCCACGGGCGACGAGGAGGACCGCGGGGACGCGGTCGCCGTGACGATGATGATGACCTCCGAGGGGGCGGGGGAGGAGGGACCGCCGGAAGCGGGGGAGGCGGCCGCGGCGGCCGCGGGGCCCGGCGCGCGACCCCTGGCCGACCCCGGCCGCCCCCTCACAGCGCAGCAGTGCGAGGCGCAGCGCCGCAGCACCGTCGTGCTGCTGCGGCGCTCGCTGCACATCCCCGAGTCGGAGGCGGAGCTGGCGCCCGCTCTGGCACGCGTGGCGCTCAGGTGAGCCGCATGCCCGTGCGGTCTGCACGTGTGTGTGTGTGTCTCCCTTTTGCACGTCGCCACGTGTCTCCCAGTGTCTCCACGTGTCTCTCCTTCGCTCTGTCTCTTCCCCCGTGTCCCCCAGTGTCTCTCCTTGGCTCTGTCTCTTCCCCCGTGTGTCCACGTGTCTCCACGTGTCTCCCCAGTGTCCCCCAGTGTCTCTCCTTGGCTCTGTCTCTTCTCACAAGTCTCCCCGTGTCTGCCCTTCACCATGTCTCCCTGCACCTCCCCCTGTCTCCCCGCGTCTCCCCATCACTGCGTGTCTCTTAACACAAGTCTCCCCCTTGTCTCCCCGTGTCTCCCCCGTGTCTCCCCGTGTCTCCCCCGTGTCTCCCCGTGTCTCCCCCGTGTCTCCCCGCGTCTCCCCATCACTCGGTGTCTCTTCACACGTGTCTCCCCCGCGTCTCCCCGCGTCTCCCCATCACTCCGTGTCTCTTAACACAAGTCTCCCCCTTGTCTCCCCGTGTCTCCCCCGTGTCTCCCCCGCGTCTCCCCGCATCTCCCCGCGTCTCCCCATCACTCCGTGTCTCTTAACACAAGTCTCCCCCTTGTCTCCCCGTGTCTCCCCCGTGTCTCCCCGCGTCTCCCCATCACTTCATGTCTCTTAACACAAGTCTCCCCGCGTCTCCCCGCGTCTCCCCGTGTCTCCCCACGTCTCCCTGTGTCTCCCCGCGTCTCCCCCGTGTCTCCCCGTGTCTCTCCCGTGTCTCCCCATCACTCGGTGTCTCTTCACACGCGTCTCCTCCGCGTCTCCCCGCGTCTCCCCGCGTCTCCCCATCCATCCGTGTCTCTTAACACAAGTCTCCCCCTTGTCTCCCCGTGTCTCCCCGTGTCTCCCCTGTGTCTCCCCGTGTCTCTCCCGTGTCTCCCCGCGTCTCCCCATCACTCGGTGTCTCTTCACACGCGTCTCCTCCGCGTCTCCCCGCGTCTCCCTGCGTCTCCCCATCCATCCGTGTCTCTTAACACAAGTCTCCCCCTTGTCTCCCCGTGTCTCCCCGTGTCTCCCCCGTGTCTCCCCGTGTCTCTCCCGTGTCTCCCCATCACTCGGTGTCTCTTCACACGCGTCTCCCCGCGTCTCCCCGCGTCTCCCCATCCATCCGTGTCTCTTAACACAAGTCTCCCCCTTGTCTCCCCGTGTCTCCCCGTGTCTCCCCTGTGTCTCCCCGTGTCTCTCCCGTGTCTCCCCGCGTCTCCCCATCACTTTATGTCTCTTAACACAAGTCTCCCCCTTGTCTCCCCGTGTCTCCCCGTGTCTCCCCTGTGTCTCCCCGTGTCTCTCCCGTGTCTCCCCGCGTCTCCCCATCACTTTATGTCTCTTAACACAAGTCTCCCCGCGTCTCCCCGCGTCTCCCCGTGTTTCCCCATGTCTCCCTGTGTCTCCCCGCGTCTCCCCGCGTCTCCCCCGTGTCTCCCCGTGTCTCTCCCGTGTCTCCCCATCACTCGGTGTCTCTTCACACGCGTCTCCTCCGCGTCTCCCCGCGTCTCCCCGCGTCTCCCCATCCATCCGTGTCTCTTAACACAAGTCTCCCCCTTGTCTCCCCGTGTCTCCCCCGTGTCTCCCCGTGTCTCTCCCGTGTCTCCCCGCGTCTCCCCATCACTCCATGTCTCTTAACACAAGTCTCCCCGCGTCTCCCCGCGTCTCCCCGCGTCTCCCCCGTGTCTCCCCGTGTCTCTCCCGTGTCTCCCCATCACTCCGTGTCTTTTAACACAAGTCTCCCCCCGTGTCTCCCCGCGTCTCCCCGTGTCTCCCCGTGTCTCCCCGTGTTCCAGAGACGCAGCGACCTCCCGGGCCGAGGCCGCCTCGTGCGCGGTGGTGGAGGGGGCGAAAGAGGCGGGTGAGGAGGAGGAGGAGGTGGGGGGGGAGGAGGAGGAGGTGGAGGAGGAGGTGGAGGAGGTGGTGGTGCTGGAGGAGGAGGGGGGGGGCCTGGTTCGCCACCGTGCCCGTGGGGAGGGGCCGGGCTGGGCCCGCGGCTACGGCCCCTCCGCTCACCTGTGCCAGCTGTGTGGCACCTGGCTCGCCAGCGTGGACAGGTGAGGGTGGGGGGGGTGGGGGGAGTGAGGGGAGAGGGGGGGGGTGAGGGGGGGGGTGAGGGGGGGGGTTAGGGGAGTGTGTGGGGGGAGTGTGTGGGGGGAGTGTGTGGGGGGAGTGTGTGGGGGGAGTGTGTGGGGGGAGTGTGTGGGGGGAGTGTGTGGGGGGAGTGTGTGGGGGGAGTGTGTGGGGGGAGTGTGTGGGGGGAGTGTGTGGGGGGAGTGTGTGGGGGGAGTGTGTGGGGGGAGTGTGTGGGGGGAGTGTGTGGGGGGAGTGGGTGGGTGGGGGAGTGGAGTGGGGAGTGGGTGGAGTGGGGGGGTGAGGTGAGTGGGGGGGAAGTGGGGTGTGAGGGGAGTGGGTGGGGGGAGTGGGTGGGTGGGTGGGGGGAGTGGGTGGGTGGGTGGCGGGAGTGGAGTGGGGAGTGGGTGGGGGGAGTGGGTGGGGGGAGTGGGGGGAGTGGGGGGGAAGTGGGGTGTGAGGGGAGTGGGTGGGGGGAGTGGGTGAGGGGGGGAGTGGGTGGGTGGGGGGAGATGGGGAGTGGGTGGGGGGAGTGGAGTGGGGAGTGGGTGGGGGGAGTGGGGGGTGAGGGGCGTGTCTCCGCGTGTCTCTCCACGTGTCTCTCCACGTGTCTCTCCACGTGTCTCCCTCACATGTCTCCACGTGTCTCCACGTGTCCCCCCCGCGTGTCCCCAGGGCCACGCTGGGTCTGGACGAGGACTGCTGGCTGCTGTCGTCCCGCCACTTCCTGCGTGTGACCGCCGCGGTGAAGATGTGCCTCGAGCCGTCCTGCCTCGCTCTGCACGGCTTCTGTGACATCAACTCTGGTGAGGAGCGACCACCACCTCCCCCCCCCGCCCCCACGCCACCAACATCGTGGCGGTCGCTCACCCACGCGCTCACTCACGCGCCCGCTCACTCACCCACTCACCCGCCCGCTCACTCACCCACCCACCCACTCACCCACTTACCCACCCACCCGCTCACTCACCCACCCACCTTTTCACTTGCTCGCTCGCTCACCCACCCGCTCACTCACTTACCCACCCGCTCACTCACTTACCCACCTGCTCACTCACCCACCCACCCACCTGCTCACTCACCCACCCACCTTTTCACTTGCTCACTCGCTCACCCACCCGTTCACTCAGCCACCCGCTCGCTCACTCACTTGCTCGCCCACCCGCTCACTCACCCGCTCACTCACCTACTTAACCATCCGCTCACTCACCCACTTACCCACTTACCCACCCACTTACCCACCCGCTCACTCACCCACTTACCCACCCGCTCACTCACTCACCTGCTTACTCACCCACTTACCCCACCTGCTCACTCACCCGCTCACTCACCCACTTACCCACCCGCTCACTCACTCACCTGCTTACTCACCCACTTACCCACCCGCACACTCACCCACCCGTTCACTCACCCGCCTTTTCATTTGCTCACTCACTCACCCACCTGCTCACTCGCTCACTCACTCACCGACCCACTCACTCACCCGGTCATCCACACGCTCGCTCGCTCACTCACTCACTCACTTACTCGAAACACTCTAAACACACGCTCACCCACGTGCTCACTCGCCCGCTCACCCACATGCTGATGGTGGGGAAGTCCGCTATTTAGTCGATGATGTCGATGATGTCGATGATGATGGTTATCTCGAGGATGATGGTGATGTTGATGATGTTGATGATGTCGATGATGATGGTGATGTTGATATGATGTTGGCGATGGTGACGTCGATGATGTTGGCGATGGTGATGTTGGTGATGTTGATGATGTCGGTGATGGCGATGGTGGTGATGTCGGTGATGTCCTGCAGGGCTGTTTAACGTGGGCAACCGGCTGCTCGTGACCCTTGACCTCTTGCTGCACATGCGCCAGCGCGTGCGTGACGGAGACAACCCCAGCGACACAGCCCAGGAGATCGTGGACGCCGCCGGTACAGCACATCGCCGTGTGTCTCTGTGTGTCTCCTCCGTGTGTCACCGTGTGTCTCCTCCGTGTGTCTCCAACGTGTGTCACCGTGTGTCTCCTCCGTGTGTCACCGTGTGTCACCGTGTGTCACCGTGTGTCTCCATGTCTCAGGTTCTCAGTGCCCCAGCGTCTCCGTGTCTCTGTGTCTCTGTGTCTCTGTGTCTCTGTGTCTCCGTGTCTCCGTGTCTCTGTGTCTCTGTGTTTTAGCGTCTCCGTGTCTCCGTGTCGCTGTGTCTCAGTGTCCCACTGTCTCTGTGTCTCAGCGTCTCAGCGTCTCCGTGTCTGTGTGTCTCCGCGTCTCTGTGTCTCTGTGTCTCTGTTTTTCAGCGTCTCCGTGTCTCAGCGTGTCTCAGCGTGTCTCAGCGTGTCTCAGTGTCTCCGTGTCCCAGTGTCTCATTGTCTCCGTGTCTCAGTGTCTCAGCATCTCCGTGTCTAGTGTCTTCGTGTCTCCGTGTCTTCGTGTCTCAGTGTCTCAGTGTCCCACTGTCTCCCCATCCCGACCTCTCCCCGTCCCGGCCTCTCCCTGCGCCCGGCGTCCTGGGCGTCCGCGCGTCTCCCCGCGTGCGCCCCCCTCCCCCGCCCCTCCCCCGCCCCTCCCCCGCCCCTCCCCCGCCCCTCCCCCGCCCCTCCCCCGCCCCTCCCCCTCCTCCCCTCGTGCCCCCCCCCTCCAGGCGGCGGGTCGGGCCGCGTGGGGCCCCCGGGGGCCGAGCGCCCCCCCCCCGCGGCGCTGTGCGAGCTGCTGGCCTGCGGCTACTGGGCCTTCGAGAGCCTCACGGCGCGCGACTACAACGACATGATCTGCGGCGTGTGCGGCGTCGCCCCGCGCCTCGAGCTGGCGCAGCGCGGGGCCCACGGCCTCCTGGACCTCGACAAGCTGGAGGTGGGGGGGCGGGGGGGGGTGGGGGGGCAGGGGGGTGGGGGGGTGGGGGGGGTGCTAGGGGGGTGGGGACGGGGGGGGACACCAGCGGCAGTAGGGGGAGCTGGAGGGAGGTGGTGGTATTGATGATGGCGGTGGTGGTGGTTACGGTGGTGGTGAGGGTGGTGGTGGTGGTTACGGTGGTGGTGGTGGTGGTTACGGTGGTGGTGGTTACGGTGGTGGTGGTTACGGTGGTGGTGAGGGTGGTGGTGGTGGTTACGGTGGTGGTGGTGGTTACGGTGGTGGTGGTTACGGTGGTGGTGGTGGTGGTGGTTACAGTGGTGGTGAGAGTGGTGGTGGTGGATGCGGTGATACAGAAGGTGCTGGTGGCATCATCACCGCCACCACCGCCATCACCGCCATCACCGCCGTCGCCACCTGCACTCCGCCCGGCACCCCCCCTGACCGCCGCGTGTGCGTCAGGTGGTGTGGCCCAGCGAGGAGGGGGAGCCCAACGAGGTGGGCGGCGAGGAGGTGAGTGCCGACGACTTCTGGTCGCTCGTGGAGACGGAGGCCCTGGAGGCCGCCGCCTTCCCCGGCGCCGTGGCCCTGCGGCTGGAGGCCGCGGCCGTCGCGCCGTTCATCCCTCCGCTCATGCGCGGGGCGCTCACCATCAACACAGAGAGGGACAAGGTGGAGCGGGGCCCCGTCAGCGGTAAGTCGCTCACCGCTCGCTCGCCACTCGCTCGCCACTCGCTCGCCACTCGCTCTCCACTCGCTCACCACTCGCTCACTCGCTCACCACTCGCTCGCTCTCCTGCTCACCTCTCGCTCACCACTCGCTCGCCGCTCGCTCACCACTCGCTCACCACTCGCTCGCTCTCCCGCTCGCCACTCGCTCGCCACTCGCTCGCCACTCGCTCGCCACTCGCTCGCCACTCATGCACGGGGCGCTCACCATCAACACGAGAGGGTCAGGTTGGAGCGGGGCCCCGCCAGCGGTGAGTCGCTCAGCACTCATTCACCGTTCACTCACCACTCGCTTGCTGATACACTCACCGTTCACGTCTCTGTATTAACGTGGGGCCGGCTGGCTGTGTAGGCCTCAAACGAGGTACCCGGCGCAGTGCGCAGTAAACATCGCCACCGGGGAGACAAAGGCGGCCGGGCGTGGTGCCGACGCTGATGCTCACTAACGGCGCTTGCCCCGACGGTCCATCGAGGCTACGCGGGGGACCTTTGTCTCGCGCGTGGGGGGCCAGGCCGTGCGCGGAGTCTTTGTCTTATCGTGTGCGTGGGGGGGGGGGCGGCCAGGCTGTGCAGAGTCTTTGTCTTATCGTGTGCGTGGGGGGGGGGGGCGGCCAGGCTGTGCAGAGTCTTTGTCTTATCGTGTGCGTGGGGGGGGGGGGGGCCAGGCTGTGCAGAGTCTTTGTCTTATCGTGTGCGTGGGGGGGGGGGGCCAGGCTGTGCAGAGTCTTTGTCTTATCGTGTGCGTGGGGGGGGGGGGCCAGGCTGTGCAGAGTCTTTGTCTTATCGTGTGCATGGGGGGGGGGGGGGCCAGGCTGTGCAGAGTCTTTGTCTTATCGTGTGCGTGGGGGGGGGGGGGGGCCAGGCTGTGCAGAGTCTTTGTCTTATCGTGTGCGTGGGGGGGGGGGGGGCCAGGCTGTGCAGAGTCTTTGTCTTATCGTGTGCGTGGGGGGGGGGGGGCCAGGCTGTGCAGAGTCTTTGTCTTATCGTGTGCGTGGGGGGGGGGGGGCCAGGCTGTGCAGAGTCTTTGTCTTATCGTGTGCGTGGGGGGGGGGGGGGCCAGGCTGTGCAGAGTCTTTGTCTTATCGTGTGCGTGGGGGGGGGGGGCAGGCTGTGCAGAGTCTTTGTCTTATCGTGTGCGTGGGGGGGGGGGGCCAGGCTGTGCAGAGTCTTTGTCTTATCGTGTGCGTGGGGGGGGGGGGGGCCAGGCTGTGCAGAGTCTTTGTCTTATCGTGTGCGTGGGGGGGGGGGGGGGGCCAGGCTGTGCAGAGTCTTTGTCTTATCGTGTGCGTGGGGGGGGGGGGCCAGGCTGTGCAGAGTCTTTGTCTTATCGTGTGCGTGGGGGGGGGGGGGGGCCAGGCTGTGCAGAGTTTTTGTCTTATCGTGTGCGTGGGGGGGGGGGGGCCAGGCTGTGCAGAGTCTTTGTCTTATCGTGTGCGTGGGGGGGGGGGGGGGGCCAGGCTGTGCAGAGTCTTTGTCTTATCGTGTGCGTGGGGGGGGGGGCGGCCAGGCTGTGCGGAGTCGCTGATGCGCCTGGTGCTGGCCGGGGAGCTGGACGTCGCCGCCCTCCACAGCAGCAGCCCACGCGAGCAGCTGGAGGACGCCTGCCAGCGCTGCGGCCTGCCCTGCAGCGCCGCACTCTCGCGGGTAGCGCCACCACCACCACACAACCACACAACCACCGCCACCACACAACTACCACCACCACCACCACACAACCACCACCACCACCACCACCACCACACAACTACCACCACCACCACACAACCACCACCACCACCACACAACCACCACCACCGCACTACTACCACCGTACACCTCGTGCATGTACCCGTGCGTGGCCCCGCAAGCCACCCCACGTGTCACCCCGCGTCACCCCACGTCACCCGCGTGTCTCCCCGTGCGTGTCCCCCTGTGAGCAGGAGGAGCTGTGCGTGTCGCTCGTATGTCTCTACGCCTCGGTTCTGGACGGCGGTCGCCCTCCCGGCTCCGAGACGCTGGCGCGGCCGTCGCACACGGGCGGCAAGATCTACAAGATGTGTCCTCACCAGGTACACCGGCTGCAGCAGTACCTGCAGCAGCTGCAGCAGTACCTGCAGCAGCTCCAGCAGTACCTGCAGCAGCTGCAGCAGCTGCAGCAGGAGCAATGAGACCCACAGACTTGGTCTGACTGGAACTCCTCAGGCGGCTGTCGTCCCGACCTGAGTGAAATCCTTAGCCAGCTTCACCTTCCGTTTTCCACTGACACATCCGAGCCAAGCCAGGGCCAGCACGGTACAGGTGTTTTTCCTTTTCCACTGGCACATCCGAGCCAAGCCAGGGCCAGCACGATACAAGTGTTTTTTTTATTTACCAGCACATCTCTGAGCCGAGCCAGCGCCAGCACGGTACAAGTGTTTTTCCTTTTCCACTGGCACATCCGAGCCAAGCCAGGGCCAGCACGGTACAGGTGTTTTTTTTTTTACCAGCACATCTCTGAGCCGAGCCAGCGCCAGCACGGTACAAGTGTTTTTCCTTTTCCACTGGCACATCCGAGCCAAGCCAGGGCCAGCACGGTACAAGTGTTTTTTTTTTACCAGCACATCTCTGAGCCAAGCCAACGCCGGGACCAGCACATGGCACGGGTGTTTTATTAATTTTTGTTCGCGCGGCCTCACAAGAAGACCCCGAGACGGCTCGGCTCAGACCCCTGGCACGGCTCCGGCGTGTAAAATTTGAAAATAGCAAAAAGACTCCATCAGAACGTCCCGTCTCCCGTGCGCGCCCACCCCAGGTGATCAGCGCATCCAAGTACCTGCTGCGTGCGGAGCGAGCCCGCGACCACGTGGACCTCCTCGCGTCGTGCCTGCACTGGCCGCCCGTCTACGTGAGCGACCTGGCGCGCGACGTCGCCCTCAACGTCGAGGCGCGCTACCCGGCCCTGGCCGCCCAGCTCTGGGGGCTCACGCAGGGCTGCTTCAGCGACCCCTTCGCTCCCCCGCAGGTTGGTAGGTGGAGAGGTGGTGACTACCTCGCCTGGTCTGCAGGAGGTCGTGGGTTCGATCCCGACCCTCATTGCCTGATGTATGTTTGGAGTTTGCGTGTCTGTCTCTCTCTCTCCATGGTGAGATGTTAACTACCTCGCCTGGTCTGCAGGAGGTCGTGGGTTCGATCCCGACCCTGACGATGCCTGCTGTATATTTGTAGTTTGCGTGTCTCTCTCTCATCATCATCATCACGGTGGCTAGGAGATGTTAACTACCTCGCCTGGTCTACAGGAGGTCGTGGGTTCGATCCCGACCCTAACGACGCCTGCTGCTGTATATTTGGAGTTTGCGTGCCTCTCTCTCTCCCCGTGGTCGCGTGGATTTTTCTCTCCATATTTCGAATCAACGTCTCGCATTTAGAGTATTTGGCTGCTGCTATACATTTCCACGTGATGATGACGTTGATAAGCCACTTAGTTGACGATCATTTTGGATAGCCAGGGTCGCTTCTAAATAAAAAGCTACGGAGCTCAGTGGGGCCTTGACTGTTAAAATAAAAAGTTGAGTTTTCGATTGAAAAAAATGTTCAGCCAGCACCTGCCGGGGCTGCGCCTTTACCGCTCGACCTCTCTGTGCCCACGTGTGTCTGCGTGTGTGTGTCCGCGTGTGCCTGTGTGTGCCCACGTGTGTCTGCGTGTGTGTGCCCACGTGTGTCCGCGTGTGTGTGTCCGCGTGTGTCTGCGTGTGTGTGTCCGCGTGTGTGTGCCCACGTGTGTCCGTGTGTGTGTGTCCGCGTGTGTCCGCGTGTGTGTGCCCACGTGTGCCCGCGTGTGTCCGTGTGTGTGTGTCCGCGTGTGCCGCCCCCAGCTGGTCTCGTGCCCCGAGCTCCAGGAGCAGTGCCTCGCCGAAGATGACCCCTCGCCAGAGGGCAGCCTGGTGCATCCGGTCACCCGCTCCACTCGCCGCTGGGTGGCGCAGGCTCCTCCGCCGACCGCAACAACAACCGCCGGCGACGGCGGGGACGACGCCGGCGACGCCGACGCCTGCACCGGCGGCGGGCACCAGCCGCACCGCTCGCTGTCGGCGTGCCGGGAGCTGCAGCCGTACGCCGCGGCGCTGAGCGGCCCGGACGTGTCCCCCGCCGCCCGTCGCCGCTCGCGGGCGGCGCGCTTCTCGTCGGCGGCGCACTACTTCCTCTTCGGCCGCCTCTGCGACTTCCTGACGAGCCGCGAGGTGGTGGCCCACCAGATCGGCGCGCTGCTCGCCGCCTGCCAGCCGGGACAGGTGCTCATCCGGGACTCGCTCTACCGCCTCGGCGTGGCGCAGCTGGAGGGGGACGTCGATGAAGGGGCGGAGGAGGAGGAGGCGGAGGAGGCGGAGGGAGAGGACGTCACGGGAGGAGACGGAGCGGCCGGGGACGATCCGGAGGGAGCGGGCGCGAGGGACCAGGGCGGCGGCGACGACGGAGAGGCGGCCACGGACGGGCACGGGGAGGCAGCGGCGTCGCCGGAGGGCACCGCCGGGGAAGTCGTCGCCGCCACCGGCGACGGTGGTGGGGGGGGGGCGGGGTGAGAGTGGAGTCGGTGGACGCCGGGAGGACTGAGCACGGGGAGGGACGAGAGTGGAGGGGTGCCGAGCGAGGGCACATAGAGGGGGCACGTGGCGATGCGGGACACGTGGCGATGCGGGACACGTGCCGATGCGGGACACGTGGCGCGGGACACTGTACACGTGACACGTGACACGGCTGACGCACGCAACGGCAGCAAATTGTCTGGAATCACCGCCGGGGGGTGGGGGAGCCGACCGTAGTCCGTGCCGCCGAGAGCCGACGGCTGCCACGCGTGCACCGTGGCTGGCGCGTGTGTGTGCAGCAGCAGGAGAAGAAGCCGGCTTGTGTGTGTGTGTGGAGCGGGAGTAGTCGGCCTTGTGCAGCAGCCAATAAATGGCAGGGCGGCCCCCCCCCGTGCTCCACCCGCATCTCGTTTGGTTCCTACCCCCCCCAATCCAACCCCCCGTCGCGCTCCTCTGTGTCCCCCGTTCGCCTCTCTCCGCCGTGCCCCCAACTTTAGTTTGTTCCTATCGCCCCCCCCCTTACCCCCTCCGCCCCCTACCCCCCGCCCCTACCCCCCCTCGCCCCCTCCTTCTTTCTCCGAGGCTCTTGGTGGGGGTGTAGCGGCGCTGCCTTGCGCCGCCAGCGCCCTCGGGGTCCACGACCAGCGGGAGCAAGCGGCCACCACCGGGCCCGACACGTGGTGATAGCCTAACCAGCCCAGCCAGCCACTCACTCACCCACTCACCCAGCCGCCCAGCCACCCAGCCACCAACCCACTCACCCACTCACCCACTCACCCAGCCGCCCAGCCACCCAGCCACCCACTCACTCACTCACCCAGCCACCCACTCACCCACTCACCCAGCCACTCACTCACCCAGCCACCCAATCACCCACTTCTCACCCAGCCACTCACCCAGCCACTCACCCAGCCAGCCACCCACTCACCACGGGTAATGGCACGTGTTTTTATTCGTGAAAAACGCAAAGTGGATAACACGCGTGTGCGTGTGCGCGTGCCAGTGGTGAGGAGGTGTTAGCGCCGCGCTGCCAACCCGTCGACCCGAGTTCGATTTCCGCTCACTGGCCACCAACATCGGTGGCGATGATCTGAACCCGGTCGCGGGCCTCTCCTAGGTAGACTCGGCCATAAACACGAGTACCCGGTGGGGGGATCTGTGTTGACATCGGCGACTTGGGGTCGGGGTGAGTAGCCGATCGCGATGCCCCGCACCACGTGCCGGGTACGAGCGTCGTGTGCTCAATGCGTGGTGCATTCTGGGATTTTTTTCTTCTTATTTGCCTTCAGCCACGTCGAGAAATCGCAGCTCCGAGTCCTCTTACGCCAGGCCCTCCGCCGTGGGCCCCTCCGCCGTGGGCCCCTCCGCCGTGGGCCCCTCCGCCGTGGGCCCCTCCGCCGTGGGCCCCTCCGCCGTGGGCCCCTCCGCCGTGGGCCCCTCCGCCGTGGGGCCCTCCGCCGTGGGGCCCTCCGCCGTGGGGCCCGAGCCCCGCTTGATGCGAGCCGCGTGGAGCCGCTGGGCCGGCACGCAGCGGCACGAGGCGCGACTGAACGCCAGCGGCGGGGGGCACGCGTGGGCGCCAGCGGGGGGCACGCGGCACGGCGGGGGGGGCACGCAGCTACGGGGAGGGGGGGCAGGGGAGTGGGGGTGGGCAGGGGAGTGGGGGGGGCAGTGACATCACCGCGACATCGCCACTGTGTGTGCATAATTTAAAAACTAATTTCTTTCAAACTGATTTTTGTTGTGTTTAGTTTGGGGGGTGGTGGTACGGGGTGGGTGGTGGTACGGGGTGGGGGGGGTGGTGGTGGTACGGGGGGGCGGGTTACCTGCACGTGGGACTGTGGAAGTGCTCGCCACGCGCGAGGCAGCTGGGGGGGCACGGCCCCCCACGATCCTCGTCACGACGACGCCGCTGCTGCTGCTGCGGCTGCCGCTGCTTTCCGTTGGCCCAAGTGGCTTCTGGGGGAAATCGGGTCACCTTGAGAAGTCAGGTCGTGGAGGAAGGGTGCAGGAGCGAAACGTCGGACATCGTGTCCGGACAGCACGCGGTACAGGCGGTGGCTGTGGTTGTTGTGTGTGATGATGGTGATGATGGTGATGATGGTGGTGATGGTGATGATGATGGTGATGATGGTGATGGTGGTGATACCGATGGTGATGGTGGTGATGATAAAACTACTCATGGTGATGGTGATTGTGATAATGATGATGGTAGTGGTGCTCATGCTACTGATGAAGATGGTGGTGATGCTACTGGTGATGATGAATCTGATGATGGTACTGTTGGTGATGCTGATATGATGATGATGAACATTCTGATGAAGATGGTGGTGATGCTGATGATGATAGTAGAGTGATACTGATGGTGATTATGCTGCTGAAACAGATGATGAAACTTTTCATGGTGATGGTGATTCTCATAATGATGATGATGGTCGTGATGCTCATGCTTCTGATGATTCTGATAATGATTCTGATGAAGCTACTGATGCAGATGATGATGCTGCTGCTGGTGGTGCTGATAATGATGGTGATGCTATGATTATGAAAATTATTCTGATGAAGGTGGTGATGATGGTAATAATGCTGCTGCTGATGGTGCTGCTGATGGTAATGATGCTGCTGATGGTGCTGGTGTTGGTCATGATGCTGCTGATGATGGTGATGGTGTTGATGTTGGTATTGATGCTCATGATGGTGCTGCTGATGGTGCTGATGATGTTGTTGAGTGCCAGGATGGTGCTGCTGATGAAGCTGCTGCTGATGGTGCTGCTGCTGATGATGCTGAGTGCCGGGATGGTGCTGCTGATGATGTTGAGTGCCAGGATGGTGCTGCTGATGATGCTGCTGCTGATGATGTTGAGTGCCAGGATGGTGCTGCTGATGATGTTGATGATGATGTTGAGTACCGGGAGGGTGCTGCTGATGCTGCTGATGCTGCTGATGATGCTGCTGATGCTGATGCTGATGATGTTGAGTGCCAGGATGGTGCTGCTGATGATGTTGATGATGATGTTGTTGAGTACCGGGAGGGTGCTGCTGATGCTGCTGCTGATGCTGCTGCTGATGATGCTGCTGCTGATGTTGTTGAGTACCGGGAGGGTGCTGCTGATGCTGCTGCTGATGCTGCTGCTGATGATGATGTTGTTGAGTACTGGGATGCTGCGGCTGCCCCTCCCCGCGTCTCGTGGGAAGGCAGCGGCACAGTTGGGGGTCCCAGCGGGCGCCCCTCACACACGTCACGTTGCTCCAGACACACCTGGGGTCACCGGGGTCACCGGGGTCACTGGGGTCACCAAGGTCACGCAAGGGGTGGGGGGGGGGGGGTCATTGTGGAGCGGTGGTGCAGTGGTCAGCGCGCTGTGCTACCAACACGCTTCGGTGTCGGCACTTGCTCCGACAGCCCGTGGAGGCTACACGGGGGATCTTTGTGTGTGTACAGTGGTGTGTATTGAGCGGTGGTGCAGCGGTTAGCGCCGCGCTGCGCTGCGCTGCGAACCCGGCGAGCCGAGGGTTCGATTCCCGCTCACGGCCAACACCGGTGACAGTGATTATCACGTAGAATGGAAGTAATAAAATAATAAAAATAAAACTTCATCAAATAATTCTGTCGAATGACAGACCTGTTCTTCACCTGAGGACGGCTGCTTGCGTTGTGGCCGAAACGTCGTGAGAATTATTTTATCATGTTTTATTTGTATTATTTTATTACTTCCCTTCTACGTGACTTTATCGAAAGAACCAAGAAGATGAAGTCGTAATCAGCTTGAGCCCTTTCTGGCAATACAGCTGGAGGCTGTGTTCAGATGTTCTAACACCAAATACAAACATGTTGCAGTTACGGCCGCCTTTGTCTCCCCAGTGGCGATGTCTACTACACGCCGCTACACCAGGTACTCATTTGAGGCTGAGTCGACCTAGGGGGGAGCGGGGTCATCGTCACCGATGGTGGTGGCTGTGACCCCCACACCGCCCCCCCCCCTTATCTACCCCCAGTGTCGCCCCGTGTGTCTCTACCCCCGTGCCTCCCCCCCCCCCTTGTCCCCCCCCTGTCCCCGTGCCCCCCCCCCCCCGGGTCTCTCCCCCCCGTGTCTCCTCCTCCCCCCCGTGTCTCTCCCCCTTGTCCCCCTCCCCGTGTCTCTCCCCCCTCCCCGTGTCTCTCCCCCCTCCCCGTGTCTCTCCCCCCCCCCCCTTGTCACCCCCTCCGTGTCTCTCCCCCCTCCCCGTGTCTCCCCCCCCCCCCCCTTGTCACCCCCTCCGTGTCTCTCCCCCCTCCCCGTGTCTCTCCCCCCCCCCTTGTCACCCCCTCCGTGTCTCTCCCCCCTCCCCGTGTCTCTCCCCCCCCCCCTTGTCCCCCCCTCCGTGTCTCTCCCCCCCTCCCCGTGTCTCTCCCCCCTCCCCGTGTCTTCCCCCCCCTTGTCACCCCCTCCGTGTCTCTCCCCCCTCCCCGTGTCTCTCTCCCCTCCCCGTGTCTTCCCCCCCCTTGTCACCCCCTCCGTGTCTCTTCCCCCCTCCCCGTGTCTCTCCCCCCTCCCCGTGTCTTCCCCCCCCTTGTCACCCCCTCCGTGTCTCTCCCCCCTCCCCGTGTCTCTCCCCCCCCCCCGTGTCTCCCCCCCCCTTGTCACCCCCTCCGTGTCTCTCCCCCCTCCCCGTGTCTCTCCCCCCTCCCCGTGTCACCCCCTCCCCGTGCCCCCCCCCCTCACCCCGTGTCCCTGCGGGAGACGCCCCGTGGCGGCAGCTGCAGTAGCAGCGAGTCGTCGTCCTCGTCCGTGTCCACGCAGCGGCACTGTGTGTGGTTCGCCAGCGTCACGGTCACCGCCAGCAGCGGCGGGGAGCGGGAGGGGATCAGCTGCAGGAGCTGCGGGGGGGGGCGAGGTGGGGGGGGGCGAGGTGGGGGGGGGCGAGGTGGGGGGGGGGCGAGGTGGGGGGGGGGCGAGGTGGGGGGGGAGTAACGCTGCCGCACGCGTGCACTGGGACAAAAACATCTTAACGAGTCGAGGATGGCAGAGCTCGGGCTATGGTTGGTAGCGCCGCCCGCTCATCGCCGCGTGGCGGCTGCGGCCGCTGCCTCCCCTTTGAGTCGTCCTCTCTGAGTCGTCCACTCTGAGTCGTCCCCTCTTGAGTCCACTCTCTCTGAGTCGTCCCCTCTCTGAGACGTCTCCCCTCAGAGTCGTCCCCTCGGAGTCCACTCTCTGAGTCGTCCACTCTCTCTCTGAGTCATCCCCTGTCTCTGAATCGTCCGCTCTGTCCCAGCTCAACAAGTCCTCCTACATGAGCACATCGCGGTGGCACAGCCGATAGCAGTCAGCCCGGTGGACTGACCACATCAGACACCCGTGACGTCCACCTATGACCCCCACGTGCCCCCCCAAGCCTCCCCCAGCCCCCACCAGCCCCTCCCCCCCTCCCCCCAGCCTCCCCCAGCCCCCACCAACCCCTCCCCCCAGCTCCCCCAGCCCCTCCCCCCAGCTCCCCCAGCCCCTCCCCAGCCTCCCTCCAGCCCCTCCCCCCCGCCCCCCCCAACCCTCTCCAGCCCCTCCCCCCAGCCCCCACCAGCTCCTCCCCCCATCCCCCACCAGCCCCTCCCCCCAGCCCCTCCCCCCCCGCCCCCTCCCCCCAGCCCCGCCCCCCACCGTCTTGTTGACGAGCTGGTGGCTGGAGTTGACGCAGCGCTGCAGCTCGGAGGGGCAGCAGCCCCCCCCGCAGCGGTGCAGCGCCACGCAGGGAGGCTTCAGCAGCGCCCCGTGGGGGGACCCGCCCCCCCCCCGCCACCCCGCCCCCCCGGGGGGGGCCTCGCGCGCCACCGCCACGCACGCCTCGCGG